ATTGAATTAATATTCAAATTGTCAGTAGACATTTTAATGAAATATAATAATTAAAATTATGTAAAGAAAAATCTAATTGGTATAAAATACTAATCAGATAGTTGTTTTAAAAAATATTAAATATCAAAAGTAGAAAAATATTTTTGTAAGTCATTTACTAAATTATTAAAATTGTATCTTGATATTTTGCTAATCTGTTTTTCAATTTTATCATGAAAATAATTTATATGTTTAAGATTTGTTATTTTTAAGTTTCGGATAGATATATAAAAATCATCATATTCAGAATCAATAAACAAATTTGTTTTGAAACAATTTTCAATGTAATCATCTGCCCAGTCGAAATATTCACATCTTCGTCTCTTACATGTAAAAAATTCTCTACCTTCATTTCGATTTTGTTTCTTTACTATAAACATTTTAGGAGTCAGAAAACAATAACATAATAAATCTCCATCTTGTGCATATTGTAAACATCTTTCTCTAAATTTTTCAATATACATATCATATAATAAAATTCGATTTTCTTTACACTCAGACATTTTTTTAAGATATTCATAATATTTCTTCAAATATTTAAGTATTGGTTTTACATTAAAATATGAGCATCTATTTATCAATGCGAAAGACTTAATGTTAATTACTTCAAATAATATCATCTGATTTATTTCTGATATATTGAAAATATTGCTCATAATTACATAAAGAAAAATCTAATCGGTATAATATACTGATTAGAGTAATTGAATTTAAGCTAACAAATTTAAAACATTATTTAAATTATAATTTGCAACATTTGAATCATAAACAAGTATTGCAAATTCTTCAGAGAATAAAAATATTTTTTTTTCATCTAATTTATAATAAATATATGATCCATATTTATGATGCATCATTTGATCAGTTATAATTCTATTATTCAAACTGAAATATTGTTTAGTTTATAAATTGTAAATATAGTTACTCAACTCATTATAATAATAGAAGTATGTTTGTAAATGATAATTAAAATCTGATTCTGAAACTACAAAATATTGATAATAAATATTCTTATTTTTATAAGTTAAACTTGGAACAATCCAATCAGAAAATAATATTGAATATTGTTCAAATTCAAAATTGTCACATTCTTTGATTTCATCAGTTATTTTTAAATAATATTTGGCATTAATCTTCTTTAGAGATAAATTGATCATAATAATATTTGTTTATATAAAACTCTAATCAGTTTTTGACTGATTAGAAATAATTTTAAATATATTAAATACAACAAATAAAAAAATTATAGCTACTAATGCATTAAAAAAATCAATTAAACAAAATCGTAGATTGGGACCAATTTCAATTAAAAGTTCCTATGCCATTGTAAAATTATTTACAAAAAATCTAATTGGTCTTTGACTGATTAGATGTATAATACTTAAATATCGAATAGAAAATATGAATAAATAAATGAATTGTAATTGTTATACAAATTATAAAAATTGTAAATGTTATCATTTTTGAAACTTCTATTGAACAAAAGAAAGCATTTGGATCAAATTCATTTACAAATTTTTGAACATTTTGTATATATGAAACAAATTGGATTCATGCTGTTTTTATATTTAATTTTTCTTTTGAAAATAGTAATCGATTCGATTTCGTTTTGATATAGGAATATCTAATTCATTTTGCTTTCGTTTTTTTTTGTTATTTATGAATTTTAATTACTAATTTTTTCTCTACAATATTCCAACAATCTACTAATGTAGATTGTTTCGAACATTTTAAATTTTCATTATATATTACTTCTAAAAATTGTTCAGCTTCTTCTTTTTCTTTTTTCAATAATGGTGCACATATATCTCATAATGATTTAAAATAATATAAATAATCTATTTTATGTTTTTCTTTTAGTTTAGAACATGGCCACATCTTTTCATAT